GTTGTAGCAACGTTTCGGCAGAATCTCATCGGCCATCATCAGGCTTCTGTATATATATGGACCTTTTTGAGAAGAAGGATCAAAACTGTTCCAGGATGGCTAGATTCCCATTCTTGTAGCAGATGACCAGACTGAGCCCAAAAGAAGAGTCAAACATGTCATCAGTCTCAAATCTCTTTGTGCCCACAAGAGATTTAAGTCCAGCCCATCTTGAGCTCCACCTACCACCTATTTGCTTTAACCGTTAGTAGCTCAGATTCTTATAGAGATCTTAAGCTTACAATGAACCTTTACATCCATTTGAACTGCCTGGGATCCCTGATTTCTCACACTTAACCATTCCTTTACAAATAGTTTGGTACAATTTACACTTCATGTCTGACCATTGTTTATTGAGCAAACCACAATAGGCTGTCGCCCAGTTGAATCCATTCATTATTTAGAGATGAGGCTTCCAAGGTTCATTCACTGCTCTACGCTGAAGTAAATCAACTACAGAATACTGTAGCTTATTGAGCTGTGGTGGCACAGTGGTTAGAGGGCAGTATTGCAGGCTGACTGCCGGCTGCCTGCAATTTGGCAGTTTGAATCCCACCAGGCTCAAGATTGACTCAGCCTTCCGTCCTTCTGAGGTGGGTAAAATGAGAAACCACATTGTTGGGAGCAAGAGGCTGACTCTGTAACCTGCTTAGAGTGCACTGTAAAGTACTAAAGGCTATTGCTGTTATTGCAGTGTGGTGAATTACATCCACAAGTGGATTAAGTAGCCCAGTATAAAGCAGGGTGTCTCCATGATTTTTATTTTATTTCTTTATTTGCATGCTGCCTCTATTATTTTTACAAATAAGGCAGTGAATATATCCAACACACCTCTTCCTCCTCCAATTTCCCCGACGACAACAACCCTGTGAGGTGAATTGGCCTGAGAGAGAGAGTGGGACTGGCTCAAAGTCACCCAGCTGGCTTTCATGGCTAAGGCAGAACTAGAACTCACCATCTCCCAGTTTCCAGCCTGGCTCCTTAACCACTAGACTCTCATCAACTTGCTGCTCCCACTTTTGACTCTGCTTTCTTTTATTTTCACACTGCAGGAAAACTGACTTTGGGGAAAGGGCAGAAAAAAGCTTTGGTGCTCTGAATTTCAATGGCCACAATCTCATTCTTCTAGCTTATTTTAATTTAAAAAAAATAAGAGTTTTATCGTTTGCAATTATGCTTTGGCAGGGCACACCCGTTCCTATACTTTTGTACATGGTGCACATACAGGACATATATTGCCAGCCAAGTTTTGTTTGGAGTTCAGTTCTGCTTGTCCTTAAAACCTGGTCGAACCAACTCGATCCACTGGTTGGTTCAAAGGGGTGATGGTGTCAACTCAAAATATTTCTATGGTCTTTTTAGAGTTGCCAACAGAAAGGGAGGGGGAGCAGTGCAGCAGCTTGCAAATTGAAAGTGCATTCCATAAATGTTTTCAAAGACCCAAGTTTCTGCCAAGCAACGTTCTAACTGGAGAGCACGATTGATGACTCTGGGCTATGGATGTGTCCCATTGGAGAATATGAATTATGATACACCCAGGGGGTGGGGGGAAAACCAGGGTCAAGGGTGACAATGAATGATGTGTCTCAGAGTTGGCTACTCTCAGGCAGTGCCGGACATGTTAACTCCCAATAAATCCTTTTGAAGTTTTCGAAGTTTGGCTCGAGACTCACGATTTAATTGGGGGAACTGCCAGAATCCTGATGGAGCTTCAGCTTGGATGGTTGTTTTGTTCTGAACTTCTGACGGTGTGATTTTTTTTTAAAATGCCTTTATTGTATTTTTATGGTGTGTTTTGTAGGCTGCTCAGGGATGTAACAAATTAGCGCAACCTAGAAATGTCATAAGCTAATAAGTTATAAATAAATACCTTTCATAACAAGCTGGGGAGGCCCCGGTTTTACATATCATGGGGTGATGATTAAGATGCTGAATTGGCACTGAGAAATCTCCTTGGGATGTAGAAGGGCCCCTGGCTGATTTGGGGCCACTCTCCAGCCAGCCTACCTGACAGGGTTGTGTGGGTGGAAAATAGGAGGAAGAAATACTATCTATGTTCCCTTGACCCAGTGGTGGGATTCAAAAAACTACCTGTTCTGTGGGCATGGCTTTGTGGGCATGGCAGGGGAAGGATACTGTAAAATCTCCCACCTCACTCCAGGGGGAAGGTTACTACAAAATCCCCATTCCCTCCCCACCCCACTAACCTGCTTTCCAACTCCGTTCTCCTGTGCAGGGCAACCAAAGGAGACCCAGCCGATCAGCTGGGGCTCAATGGGAGGCGGAGAATAGAGGGGGCGGGGCCAGTCAGAGGTGGGATTGACCAGTTCTCCAAACTACTCAACATTTCCGCTACTGGTTCCCCAGAACTGGTTAAAACCTGCTGAATACCACCTCTGCCTTTACCTTTTTATTTACTTAGCAAAGATTTAATAAATATTGGAGATGATCCTTTACATTTGGAACCATTCACAGTCTTATCAATGGAGTCTGTGCAGTGATCTATCCCTCCATATTACTTTCTATGCAGGAATATAATTTCTATTTTTGTTTATTTCCTAACTTTATTATTTCTATAGATAACCCAAGGCAGTAAACATACCCAATACTCCTTCCTATTTTTCCCGTAACAGCAACTCTGTGAGGTAGGCTGGGATGAGACAGTGTGGCTGGCTAAAAGTCACCCAGCTAGCTTTCATGCCTAAGGTGGGACTAGAACTCCCAGTCTCCTGGTGATTTGCCCAAAGTCACCCAGATGATTTTCACACTTAAATCAGGACTAGAATTCACAGTCTCCTGGTGTTTGGCCCTAAATCACCCAGCTGGCTTTCATGCCAAAGGCAGAACTCGAACTCCCAGTCTCCTGGCTTCTAGCCTAGTGCCTTAGCACTTGACCAGACTGGCTTTTTTCTTTCTGGCCTTTCTTGGTCCTCATCTGGTTAGTTACTGTGAGAACTGAATGCTGGGTTAGGGCCCCTTTGGTTCTTCTTCTGTCCTCGAACACAGCATTTTGAACCCCTGAAAAGACAATGTGGACATTAAGTGGAAACAATTGGAATCTATTCACACTATTGTGCTTAACTGTAAAAGGAAAGGCATACTGTGCTTGCCAATTAGCTCAGTTTTCATAGATTTATTTTCCTGTTTTTAGTTTACACTGGTTTCCATGGGTGCATTTTTTTCCCTTTCCTCTTCCATTTTTACACCTTGAGGTAACTGGACAATAATAACAAGTATTTTAGAGGGCTCGAGAGCAAAATACAAAAATTATCTCTCTCTCTCTCTCCATCTCTCTCTTTCTCTCTCTCATCCCCTTTCTCTCACTCTTTACTTCTCCCTTTCCTTTTCCCTCTCATTTTCTCTCCCTCTTTCTTTCTTCCTCTATCTCTCTTTCTCTCTCCCCCCTCCCTCTCCCCCCTCTTTCTTTATCCCTCTCTTTTCCTCTCTCTCTCTCTCCTTCCCTCTCTTCCTCTTTTTTTCCTTTTCTCTCACTCTTTAACCCTCTCTTTCATTTTCTCTCTTCCTCTTCCTCTCTTCCTCTTTTTCTTCCTCTCTCTTTCTCTCCCCCCCTCCCACGTGTGTTGTGTATGTGTAAATGCCATCAGCAGGAGAATTATGTCTTCCCTTCCCCACCTCTGTCATTTCTGGCAGCTCTGCTAGAGGGGAGGGTGGAACTGCATTGTACTACTAGGGTTTAAATTTAAAGCACAATACACCTTCCCGGGAGGATGTAGGTAGAACGTGGCGCAATTCCATAAAAGAAATGGGTCTCGTCACCCTATCCCTCCGCCCTTCTCTTTCTCAGTCTGTTCTACCCGACTAACTTGTTGCACCCACGGGTGTGTGTTTTAGCTAGCCTCGCTTCCAAAAGGATGCAGATCAGAAAAGCCCCCCCTGCATTTTATCCCGCTTTGGAGCTGGAGATTCACTGCAAGGGACGGCTTGTGTGTACTTTTTAAAAATCCGAGGAAAGGTCTCCCAAACGGGGCTTGAGAAAGAGACGGTTGTGGGTTGTGTGTGTGTGGGGGGGGGGGTGTTTAAAAGACAGAATTGTCGCGGCGAGTGCGATGTTGGAGCACCGGCGGGGCAGATTCCCTGACTCCCCCGACGTCTCTTTTCCCACCCTCCCCGTTTCAGATTCGGAACGCGGGGTTTATAATCCTCTCGGGCGCGGTGATAAAAGGGCGAGGCCACCGCCGCGGTGCCCGATCTTTCTCCGGTTAACTCAGAAGTAAGTCCCGACGAGCTCCTTCTGCACTTTCCAGCGGGGGGGGAGGGGGGGGGGGCTTTGGACATTCTTTGGGGGGGGAGTAACCCCCTCCGAGTGCGGGGAGCCGGGGGGGGGGGGGGGGGGTAAGCGCCTTCCCAAAGACGCGCGCGACTTTCAGGCAGCGCTCAGCACCTGAAAATGCAAGAAAGCGAACCCATTTCCGAACCTTCCCCCCCTCTCCCCCCAAAAAGACGAGGGGAGAAACCGCGTTTGTTTGTTTTCCGAGGGGTGGATTCCTAGCAGGCCGGGGAGCTGCGTTCTCCATGTCCAACCAGCGCTCCGAAGTCTTCGTGGGGCCTCGTTCCCAGGGAAGCGAGCCAAGGGCGTTTGCAACCTGGGGTGGGGCGTGGGCTGCAGCACCAGCCGCCGCCGCCTCTGCCCGGGTCCCCACAGGCACTGGTGATTTTGGGGGAGGAGGAGGCTGGAGTAGGTACAAATCCCTCCCAGCGTTTTTTGCCTGGCGAAGGAGTTTGTGACTCGGGCTCTCGTCCTGGGGCGTGGAACTGGCGCGCCTCTATATAAAAAGGTTTCCCCCGACCAGGCAGACTCGGAGTTGGGCTGCGCCCCCGCGGTTGGCCCTGGGTTCGGTTCAGAGCGCATAAAGGAGGCCCCGAGCAGCGGAGCCCAGGCACAGCGCGACGCAGCGGATCCCCGGCTTCGCGCGCGTCCCCCCTCCTCCGTTTCTTTCCCCCCGGGGGGAGGGGAGGGGGGGAAAAGGCAGCGGCGGCCGCCTCTTTTGTGGGAGGGAAGCGGAGGAGGCAGGCGGAATCGATCGGGGCAGAAATTGTTCCGAAGTGAGCCGCTCCGGGAGGACTCGCCGGCCCCGGGGAGCCAGGTGAGTGGCAGCGCCCCTCGGGAGAAGCTCACGGCCGCCTTTCCCCGTGGGCTTTCGGTTCACTTTCTCCGCAGGGACTCTGGTCAGCTTTTAGGGCCACTTCCCGGCAAGCCTTAGGCTTCCTTGAAGATTCCGGTGCGGACACTCAGCGTAGACTCGGAGACGTAGCTCCGCAACTGACTTTGGCACATGAGGTTGTTATTATTATTTGGGGGGGATTCTGGCGCTCCGTTTTAGGCCTTCGCTGCACACGGAAGTTCCTCTCCCGGCGTCTCTCCAGTTGCTAAGACTACAGCTCCCATCGTCCCCGCCCGTTCCTATGTGGCACGAGGCTTGAGTTGTACGGCTCCCGGCAGGAAGGTACCTGTGCAGGTCCCTGCCCGAGGGTGGGGGTGGGGGGTGGAGAACGCAGCGAAGTCACCCACCGGAGAGGGGAGGGGAACGGCGGCCGCAGGTTTTGCCCGTCGCCCGAGGCGCTTAACCCGGACAGAGCCTTGGGGGTTTGCGCGCAGCCTTTGGGAGACCCGGTAGGCTGAGGTGCGGCCAAGCCGACCTTGCGCGTTCGGCAAACTTAGCACAGAGGCGACTGTCTTTCGGGGCGTGCCGGAGGCGCGGAGCCCAAGCCGCGCGCGTCTCCGCGAGCCTTCCCTTGACCCTACACACTCCAACCTGCGTGCCCAGAACCGGGTGAGACTCCGGGAGTCCCGGGACCTGCTTTTCCTTCTCTAGATTTCTGCCTCTGCTGAGCTTCCTGACCGCGCAGAGTTCGAGCTGTGCCCGCTAGGAAGGGCGTCTCCTTGAAGCTCTTCCCGCCGGAGCCCGCCCACCTCGGCGCTTTGCCTTCGGCGATTCAGCAGGTGCCGCAGACTGACCTGCTCCTTCCAGAATCTGGAACCCAAAAGGTTCAACAACACCCCCCCCCCCGCACTAATCCCACCGACAGTTACTTCGGAGGGAAGGGTCAGGCACTCTGCGCGTGTTTAGAAGCACCGGCGTTCGGGGGGTGATGGGATCCACGACCTGAAATTAAGCGCCGCTGCTCAGGTGTATCCTTTTATCTACCTGCCTTCTGCTCTGTTTTCTAAGCAAACTCGAGAAGTTCGCCCCTTGAAGCGAGCGGACGCTCCGTCCAATCTCCCGCTGGCGATCTTGGGTCTTTCTAGATCTAGACCCAAGAGGCTTCTAGAACCTACAACGCTGGTTTGTCTTTTTCACGCGTATTTGTGGAGGGGCCGCATTCTTCCAATAAACACCCCAGAATTAGTCTCTCCGTCCATTAGCCTTTCCATCTGTTAGGGTATGAAAGGAAAGTGCGCGCGCCTGTATTTGTGTGTGTTTCAGGAGGAAGAAGAGGAGGAAACTGGATCGAAGTAAAAAAGAAAAAGAAAGCAACACAAAGAAAGTGCTAAGAGTTTCTTCGCTTTCACGCCCTTCTTAGGGTTTCCAGAGAGCCTTTTGTGGATGGGTTTCGCGCCCTTGTTCTCCGCACCTTGGGCAGACGGGAGTTCAGGCTGGAAGAAAGGGGTTGCCGGGCGGCAAATGACAGTATTCTAATCCGGACTGAAGCCTGTCTCCCAAACGCGTTTCTGTCACGTGGGGTTGGGATGGGATTAGCCAAAGGTCCAGCGGGAGCTGCTCCGCTGCGGTCAAGTTTCTGGAAGCGAAAGTTTCTGCGACGAAGCAACTAGTCCTCGAGTCCCGGAGCTCGAGCTTTCTGCTTCGAGCGGGGATCGGCTATCGGGCGCCCTCCGGATGGTTTAGTTTAGTCTTTCCCTCCCATCAGCTACAGCCAGCTTGGTCGATGCTCAGGGAGCGTGGAGGTTGGCGCTCCTGGGAATACTGGATTGCCTGCTTCTGCATTGGGGGTGTCCAGAAAGCACCTCTTTCCGTCCTATCTTTGGGTGTTTGGAGCCTTGAAATGCCTTGTTAAGGACGCGGGAGAGTGGTTTCTATCACAAGAGTCCCTAATCTGCTAGAGAAATCTGACTTTAGACCGGCAGGTTGAGCGAAAGTAGTAAATCCTGGGCTCTGCCTCACCCGCCCCAGGCAGCCCCAAATTTTGCCTTTACCCCCGGATCCCGCTGCCCCTTTCCTGCCCTTCTCCCCCTTCTAAGTCGCCGCAACTCCCTCCCTCCGCTATCGGGAGTTGCGGCGGCTAAACAAGCGGGCGGGCACCTTAGCGGCACAAAACCTGGGTTGCGTTTTGTTTTGGGTGTTTTTTGGGGGGGCCTGTCCGTAGGAAACGAAAAAGGAGAGGGCGCGCGCTCTCTCTCGCACGATCCGTCTCTAAGGAGCGAGAGGCGGTGCTGGCGGCCACCCGGAATCAGCCTTTTCCCCCCCATCGGCCGCCGTGCAGATATGCGGCGGTTCCAACTCTCATCATCACCCGCAGCCGGGGAGGGCGAGGAGTAAGGTGGCCTATTACAGTCTGAAGAAGTGCCGGTTAGGTTGGGAGAGCGGCCCGAGTCTTGCGCGCCTGTCCTTTTGCGCTAAAACTTGGTGCCGCCGCGCTTTCAGGACCTCGGACAGATCAGGATGAATGGGCGGCGGCGTTTGCCTTGGTTGTTCAGCCGCGGCGGTTGCGATGTGACACTCACAAACGGGTCTCTCTCGGGGTTTCGTTGGAAAACCTGCCTCCCTTGAAAACGCGTGAAAGTGAGTAGTCTTGTCTATTTCCAACCAGCAGTACAGGAAGATGTAGCAAGGTAGAAGGTAGACGTTTGGATAAGGCACCAGGCTAGAAAGCAAGGAGACCCTGAGTTCAAGTCCCACCTTAGAACCATGAAAGCCAGTTCCTGGATGGCCCTGGGCCAATCACCAGGAGACTGTGAGTTCTAGTTTGTCTTTCCTCATGAAAGCCAGCTGGGTGATCTTGGGCCAGTTCCTCTCTCAGAACTCATGGTTCTTGTGGGGAAAATAGGAAGAGGAAGATGTGTTGGATGTATAGCCTTGAGCTATTTGTAAAAATATAAAGGCAGGATACAGATTTTTAAAAAAGACATACTGCTCAGACATGCTTTGTATACAACCCACCCTGAAACCTTAAAAGCTCTTAGTGAGATCGAGTTTTGCTTGCATTACTTTTTATGAAAACAAGCACAGTCCCCAAAGTGCTTTTTTTACAAAAGGCAACTGGACTTTATTTTTCCTTGGAGGTGTTTTGTTTCTCACCCAAGAAGCTTCTTCCATTCCGATGAAGCTTCTTGGATGAGAAGTGAAACGTCTTCAAGGAAATCCAGTTGCCTTTTGAAAGAAAAAAAGCAACTATGACTTGGATGACTGAGAATCTCCGTAGACAAACAAAGTGGCACCAAACCATCCTTCTCTTCTGGAAACCGCATATTTCTAAAGCAGCCTGTTTATCTACAGTATATGCTTATGGGGTATTATTGCTGATCAGGTTCACCCTCTGTGCAAAACCATGGTTTGCTAAATAAGCCACAGCCGCCTTGTTCCCACCAAACGGCTAACATAAAGGCTGGATTTCCACTACGGCAAAAACAATTAATGCAATCGATGGTTGAGGCTGAATGATGGCTATCTGGTCTGGGGTGGACTCTCCGATGGAGTTTGAATGGAAGGCAACTGTAGTCAAAAACTAAATTCTAATGCTATTGTGGGGTTTGCTCCTAGGTGAGTGGATATCACATCTGGGGTTTTGTGTAGACCCCAATGATTGTACAGTCAATCATAGCTTAGTTCCTACAGGAATAAAATAGTATGAAAACAATGGAATGATTGCTTAATTCATAGACACTTTGAGATGATGGGGAGGCAAGGGAATGTTGCAGGTCCCATCCCCATCCCATCCCACACCTGGTGGGACCCAAAAGAAGGGCCTTCTTCGTGGTGGCTCCCTCTCTCTGGAACACCAGAGATTAGAAGGGCCCCCACTCTAGCACTCTTTCGAAAGGCACTGAAGACCTGGTTTTGCCAGCGGGCCTGGGGAACCCAGAGTGGGATGGAGCCCATCCAATGGCTAGTGTGATCTGCTGTCATCGGGGCCGTGGGTGGGAGTTTGGGGGGGTGTTTTTTTATCTTTTTCCCAGATTTTGTTCTATTGTACTTTATTAATCTATTTGATTCTTTTTGTTAGTTTTTGTTGCTTTTTAAATTTTTATTTATTTATTTTGTTTTCAATAGGGTTTTACATTGTGTAAACTGCCTCGAGTCACCTTGGGCGAACAGGCAGCAATATAAATTAAATAAATAAATAAAATAAATAAATTATCCTCCCATGGCTGGTTCCAGTTGTTGTTGATAGCTGGAGAGAGACTACGCCCAAAGTCCCTGGTCTGTGAGATGCCTCGGGGCTTCTCACTCTCCTGTTTTACATCTACAGGAAGGCATTGGGTGAGGTCATCTATTGACCCAGAGTCAAGGATCGTGAGGATACAGATGACACTCCGTTGTATCACAGGGCATCTTGACTGACCAAGTGATGCTCTCATGATCTTCTCTTAGTTCCTGGAGGCTGTTGAGGTCTGGATGGGGAGGAAGAGGTTTGAAAGGGCAGAAGCAAATGGGCTTGGGAGATTCTTCTGGTGTTCTGGGATTTTCCCGTCTTCCATTCTGAACAGAATTTAATTTCCTCAAACACAACTGGTGCAGTTGTGGGAGGCCTTCTTGGACTCAATGGTCCTGCAGGTGGCAATTGTGGCTGGGAAGACCTTTGCATGCTTCCACCAGAAAGGGAACTTTTCTCACGGTCACTTATGAATGGATTGTTGCATTCATGTATCTGGGGCTGATCTTGAAAACCGTTCCAAAGATATAGTTGGTCAATGATGCAGTGGCATCCCGAGTTATAGACATACCTTTGCTTGCTCATATAATGCTTTTGTTTTGGAACTATACTTGTTTACCAGGGAGCTTCTGGTTGGCAATTAGATACAATTGTCATGTATGAAGCCCTTCCTAGCACAGGACCTGGATATCCCAGGAATCAACTTCCTCTCATTGTTTTGTTCATCGCACAAAAACTGAGAAAGTGTTTTATG